TCGCCACCGGTGGCAACGGCCTCCACAAAGAGGCCGCGGAAGCTGCAGCCGCCCAAAACCGCGGCTGTAGTGGTGACCGTGTCCCCGGAGGCGGCGGACGGCGGGCTGTCCTACGCGGCCGTTTTCAAAAAGGCCCGGGACAGTCTCGCCAACGATTTTGGAACGGTGGGGGTCAGGATGCGCCTCGCCCAGACGGGAGCTCGAGTCCTCGAGTTCCCTGGGGCTGAAGGCGCAAAGACGGCGGACTCGTTTGCTGAGAGGCTGCGGGGTATATTCGCGACTACAGATGGTGTGAGGGTCGCCAGGCCTACCAAGTGCGCGGAGCTGCGCATCTCGGGCCTGGACGACTCTGTGACGGCCGAAGATGTCCGCGCTGTAATCCGGGAGAAGACGGGGTGCAGCGCGGACAACGTCAGGGTCGGCACCATCCGCCCCGGTCCAGGGGGGCTTGGCGCCGTGTGGGTCAGCTGTCCCGTAGCGTCGGCCAAAGTATTGGCCGACGCCGGCAGGCTGCTCATCGGTTTCGTGAGCGCCAGGATCACAGTCCTGGCGGCGAGACCGATGAGGTGTTACAAATGCCTAGCATCGGGGCACACGCGCGTCAAGTGCCAAAGCTGCTTTGACTGCAGCGGACTCTGTTTCCGCTGTGGTCGACCGGGGCATGTGGCGGTGGAATGCTCTGCCGCCCCTCACTGCCCGGTGTGTGCGGCGGGTAACAAGCCCGCCAATCACCAGATGGGGCAGGGGGGCTGCAAGCCTCCCCGCAACTCTCAGCAAGCATCGGGGGCTAGCCAGTCGACCCAGGCTGCCTCCGATGTAGTTCGTGCGTCGACGTCGTCGCCCATGGAGGAGGCTGTAGAGACGATCCAGTAATGGATCGGGTCTCCAGCCTCCTGGTCCAGACGAACCTGAACCACTGTGCCGCGGCGCAGGATCTCTTCCTGCAAACCATGGCACAGTGGTCGATAGGTGTTGCCGTAGTCGCGGAGCCCTATTCTGTCCCTCCCCGTCCAAACTGGATGGGTGACTGGGACGGCTCCGTGGCAGTCGTCGGTTCCACGACGGCTCATTCCCCGCCCTTGTCGCTAAGAGACAAGGGCACTGGATATGTTGCCGTCGAGTGGGGGGGGATCACCATATATGGTGTTTATTTCTCCCCCAACCGGAGTTTGAACGACTTCGAGGTTTTCCTAACCAGCTTGGAGACCTCGATACGGCGACTAGCGTCTGGGCACGTCCTTGTGCTGGGGGACTTCAACGCAAAGTCCATTGCGTGGGGTTCCCCCAGGACGGACGCAAGGGGCGAGGCCGTAGAGGAGTGGGCGGCCTCGGTGGGCCTCTGTCTTCTAAACAGAGGCTCCACCAACACGTGCGTGCGACAGCAGGGGGGGTCGATAGTGGACCTCTCGTTCGCTACCCCTGCCCTCGCCGCACGAGTAAGGAACTGGTGTGTCCTGGAAGAGGTTGAGACGCTCTCGGATCACCTGTATATCCGATTTGAGCTCTCCCGGACCCAGGACTCCAGTAGGGGTCACGTGGCGCGGCGTTTATCCCGCTTTCCGCGGTGGGCTATTGCCAGACTGAACCGGGACCTACTAGAGGAGGCAGCCATAATTCACTCGTGGCTGTCTCCTCAGGCTCCGACCGAGGAGGTCGACGTGGGGGCTGGCCGCTTTCGCGATGCGATTACGCATATCTGCGATGCGGCCATGCCCCGCATTCGAGGTCGTCGGCCTCCAAGGAAGGAGGTCTACTGGTGGTCCCAGGAGCTGGCGGACCTCCGTGCGGCCTGTACACGTGCCCAGAGGTCCTACACACGCAGTCGGCGGCGTCACCGTGGAGACGGTGAGGAGGACCGGCTTCATGAGGAGTACCGGCGGGCGCGGAAAACTCTGAAGCTGGCCATTAGCCGCGCCAAAGAGGAAAAGAGACAGGAGATGCTGGAGGGTCTTAATCGTGACCCCTGGGGTCGCCCTTACCGCGCGGTGCGACAAAAGCTCCGCGCGTTGGGCCCCCCCCTTACGGAGACTCTCCAGCCCAGCTTCCTGCAGGAAGTGGTCGAGGGCCTATTCCCGCAGCGGGCGGAGCACACACCCCCGTCGATGGCTGCATCAGCCGGAGACGACGGGGGCAGCGAGGTCGATGTTCCGCCCGTCAGGGAATCGGAGTTGGGGGCGGCTGTTCTACGGATTCGATCCAAGAACACCGCCCCCGGGCCGGACGGGGTTCCAGCCCGAGTGATGGCCCGAGCCCTCGACTACATGTCGGACCACCTCAGGGGGGTGTTGGACGCTAGCCTGGCGTCCGGACGCTTCCCTGAGCGTTGGAAATGCGGGAAGCTGGTCCTGCTGCAGAAGCCGGGACGGCCTGCCGATTCGGTCGCGGCCTATAGGCCCATCGTGCTGCTGGACGAGGCGGGCAAATTGTTTGAGAGGGTTCTTTCTGCCCGCATCGTCCGGCACCTCTGCGAGGTGGGCCCCGATCTGTCGGACGCCCAATTTGGTTTTCGGGCGGGGCGTTCGACAGTCGACGCTGTGTTGCGCCTGAGGGCCGTGACCGAAGAGGCCGTGAGCTGTGGCGGCGTGCTGTTGGCGGTGTCATTGGACATCGCCAACGCATTCAATAGTCTGCCATTCAGCTGCATCAGGGAAGCACTCCACTATCATGGGGTGCCAAAGTACCTGAGGCGGCTGGTGGCAGACTATTTAGAGGAGCGTACCGTCGTGTACGAGGACCGAGAAGGTAATTTGAGGAGTCGGCCCATGTCGTGCGGTGTTCCACAGGGGTCTGTTCTTGGACCCCTCTTGTGGAACATAGGGTATGACTGGGCCCTTCGCGCCGATTTCCCCCCCGGGCTGGGTGTAATCTGTTACGCAGACGATACCCTCGTGACAGCCCGGGGGGCAAACTTCCAAGAGGCGGCGCGCCTGGCCACAGGGGGAGTCTCCCTGGTGGTCGGGCGCATTGAGGCGCTGGGCTTACGGGTGGCCCTAGATAAGACGGAGGCCCTGTTATTTCATGGGCCCCGTCGTGGTCCACCCCCTGGCGCCTCAATCGTGGTCAACTCGGTCCTCGTACCGGTTCGGGCCCAGATGAAATATCTGGGCCTGAGCTTGCTCCAAAGCTGGTCGGCGCTGCGTCTGCCCTAGGGCGACTTTTGCCCAATATGGGTGGACCCAGCGTCGCGACAAGACGGCTGTACACGGGGGTTGTCCGGTCAATGGCGCTGTACGGTGCACCGGTGTGGGCGGCGGCTCTGACCGCCCAGAATAGGGTACGCCTCTGGCGCCCTCAGAGGGTAATGGCGGTCAGAGCCATACGCGGTTACCGCACCGTTTCTACGGAGGTGGCATGCGCGTTGGCCGGAACTCCCCCGTGGGATTTGGAGGCGGAAGTGCTCGCCGAAGTTTATCGGCGAGTGGCTGACTCCCGGGCGGAGAGCGGATTTCGCCCTCCGCCCGAGGATGTGCGCGAGTGGCGCGAAGCCGCTCGCCGAGCCACGATGGCTCGTTGGTCGTTCCGGCTGGAGACTCCACGCGCTGGCTTCGCCGCCGTGGAGGCTCTCCAGCCGGTCATCGCCGAGTGGGCAGGGCGGCAGCACGGGACCCTTTCCTTCCGACTGACGCAGGTGCTTTCCGGGCACGGTTGCTTCGGAAAGTACCTGCACACGGTCGCTAGGAGGGAACTGAGTCCCGCCTGCCACCACTGCGACTGCAGTGAGGACTCGGCCCAGCACACGCTGGCGGTCTGCCCCGCATGGGCGGCGCAGCGCCGGGCCCTCACTGCAGTCATCGGAGTGGATCTCTCGCTACCGGCCGTAGTACGCTCCATGGCCGGTAGCGACAGTTGTTTTACCGCGGTCGCAACCTTCTGCGAGGTAGTAATCTCGCGGAAGGAGGCGGCGGAGAGGGCCCGGGAGGACGACCTCCACTCGGACCCGATCCGCCGCCGGCGAACCGGGCGGCGGAGGCCCGCCTACCACAGCCTCATGCCGCCCTGAGTGTGGCCGCGGGTGGACGGGGTGGGTTTCCCCTCCACCCGCATTAGTTGGCCAGCCGCGAGGGGGCGGCGTCCGCGTGTGCCGGACGTCGCCTAAAGAGAGGAACATCCACATTGAGACGGAGCCCGCACCAGGAGCGGGCTGGCGCTAGGAGGGGTCCGGATGTCTTAACAACAGCTGTTCCCGGATCCCTCCTGTTACAGGCGCAGAGTGGCACACCGTGTGGTTTTAGTCGGTCCGAGTCCGACACACCACCCCGCCGCAAACCCCGGAGGGGTGACGGTCCGAGGGGATTTCCACACGTAAAAAAAAAAAAAAAAAAAAAAAAAAAAAAAAAAAAAAAAAAAAAAAAAAAAGGTTTTGTTTCAAGTTGCATACTCTTTGCAATGGCGGCAACACAGTCACAGACTCTTGAGTTGTACTAAGAGTCACAAGCCCAAGGAGTTTTGAGAGAGACAAAAGTCAAAAGTCCTTTGGCTGCGGTAGCCACTTACCATCAGATGACCCTTCAACTCATTTTCCCCCTCTACCATAAAAAATACGATAAGTTATGTCTCTTATGTGTGTCTGTATTTTTGAGCTCAGATGAAATAGATTATTATGTTAAGTAATCTTTTCACCTGTCATTGACAACAGGTGTTGAGATTATTCCGTCGCCAAAATGCTGTATATATTTCATGCCGAGTAACATAAGCTTATTTAATCACTTAATCCGTTTTGATAAGAAAATCTTTGTTATGTCTCGTGTAAAGGGAAGCGTATATATTCATTAATTATTTCATGAGCATAATTTTGTAATAGTTTCGTACCTATTCGTACCATTATTGCTGCCCACGCATTATTCCTTTAAATATAACATCAGCTCAAAATAAGTACTTCACTGTAGATAACACATTTCTAACTGATGAAAATGAATTATTAATAAGTGTAAATCAATGCGCACCTACGTCAACCGACATGACGTGATACGCCCGATAACTCCCAATCAAAACGGAAAGATTCACTCACCTGGCAATTCCAGAAAGTTTGATGTCCTCCTCTGACGACCTCGCATGGTGTTTTGAAAGTTTAACGGCCCAATGTCTTCAACAGAATCGCAATTTGACATTGTAGACTCTCTCGAACCACGCCTGCTTGCTAAGTACGCCAGACCCCCTTTCATTGACCCTCTGCGCATAGGAGAACATGGTCTGCTCACACTTGTGGAACGCGTTACTGGTGTATCATCAGTCATATCCGTCAAATCTGACGTAGACTTTCTACATATTTTGGAGGATGTTGTAGTTGCCTCATCATCTGCATCGTGGAGTATCGCTGAAGGAGTTCCCAGCATCATTTCTGTAGAATCATCAGTGTGACTGGACACTATGCTTGGGGATGTCACCAGACGTGGTGAGCTAACTGTGGACGTAGAACCATATAGTTTTCTTGTGCGATTAGGGGACACATAGCCTGGATTTGTGTGAATGTGCACTGGAGGTGGCTTGGGCGACCTGGATTTTTCCCTGCGGCTGTGCTTCAGTGAGGTTGTGTAGTGCAAACCACGAGCTCGATCAAAACAAGGGCTGGATTGTCCTGATGGTGATTTCTGAGGGAAATTAAAATGTCTTGGGCTTATTGGACTGCGATGCCCGTGGGCTATCGGAGATTTTGGCGGTTGATTATGCTTGTCATAGCTGCAACCTGACTGAGGGGTGTAGTAACCCGAGGAAGAGGTACTGGAGGTTATTGAAGGACTTTTATGGGGAAACACAAAGTGACTTGGACTTTTTGGAGTATGGGGAAGTTTTGGAGAAGCTGGTGCAAAACCTCCTCCTGGACTGTTCACTGCCATCGTGATCACTTTACACTAACACACGATCACCATTTCACTTTACACCTGCAACAAGAGAAATGACTTCATTAATTTTGAATTTGATTTTATTCAGTATAAAATCGTAATAAAATTATTAATATTACAACAACCAATATGTTTCCACTAGATAAATTTAGAGGTCCCGAACGTAATCTAATACGCTGTTTACCGTGATTGATATCAGTAGGTAGTTCGAGCAACCAACACTATCTATTGATTAATTAGTGTTAGCACTAAGAAGTTTTGTCCTGGAATCTTCGCACAAGTTTTTGTTTATGTTAGAGTGGGCAAACGAGCACACGGGTCAGCTGATGGAAAGTGACCATCGCCGCTCATGAACGTCTGCAACTCAGGAGTCACAAACGCGTTGCCGGTCTTTTAGCAAGGAGTACGCTCTTTTCTTGAAGGTTTGATGGTCGTAACGGTCCTTAAATAGCAGTTATAATAACCGTTCTAAGTCAAGGCATAATACTCGTATTTAAGAAAGCTACTGATTTTATGTTTATGGAGATGTGTCTCACTACCCTTAGCACAGTGACAACAATAACCGGAGAGTCAAAACTCATCACGGCTCGTGAAACAAAAACATATACTATTTTATTTCCATTCACCGCGCTCCTAAACAACGTCCACAAAATATCATCATCGTCAACAGCCTTTAGTAGTCTACTGCTGGATGTAGTCCTCTCTTTGGACAGGAGATTGAGGCATACTATACCACACTGGCCATACGTGTTAGTATAGAGTTTGTGTCAAGTTTACCTTCTCTTTGCAGTGCTGAGTTTGCTGAGTCGGCTTTTACGATACCCACGGGATGAATTCCTATTCTGCGGGTGACACTCCGTACTCTAAATCCGTCACCCGCAAAGTAAGAATAATGATAACTTGAGAGAAAATAAAAACGTAACGTCCATTAATAGGTTAGTCGTTAAGAGATCGTATCATATAAAGTCTAAGTTATAAAATTTATTAAACAATAATTTTACTGCGTACGACGTGGAGTCAGCAATTTATGACGTCAGCAATTTATGAGTAAAATTTTTAATAACCCCTTTATTGCCAAGAATTGGACGTATTTTAATAATATTAAGTAATGTTAAGTCAATATTAGAATTGCTTAATTCTAATCAGCCCAAATTAAAGTTGCATATGGATCGATGCAGAGCTTTAAATTTCATTACACTGTCTATTTTACTACGTATTCTGCTTACTAAATGGAAAAATTAAAAGAATAAGGAATACAGTTTATAACTTATTAGTAATTCATCATGATATACGCGCATCGAAGTCGATTATACTTTTTAAAAGTTAATTATATCAGAAATAAGCGATGGCGCTTGTATCTGACATACTCGTAATTAACTTTTTTTGCAGGTTACCATTGCACGGATTGAATGGTATGACGTATCTACGACCCATTCGAAAACAACAAATTCAAAACGATATATTCCATACAATATTATAGAAAAACCGCTAAGGACAATCAAACACTCAAGTTGTGTTTAAGATCAAACGTTTAAGCTCGACCTCTTCCGTTTGTCTCCCGGGAAATTAGTTCTCAAGTCACAGCCAGACGTGATAAGATATAAGTTAAAGGCGTTGGAAAAAAAGATTGAAAAGAAGTGTATTTTAGATAAACTTCCCGGTTTAAACTTTCTTAATAAGTTGTTAAATGTGATTACGGTATTTCAACATTTTGTTTGGTTTTAAAGCAAAGGTCTGTGAAAATCTTTTCAGCTGCTTTTCAAATGTCAGTCTTGTTCTTGTTTTGGTTAATGAATATTTTACTACTTCAGACTAGAATTATAAGGCAATTAAATTGAAGGGTTCTTGCATTAATATGTATAGATCGGTATGTAACGGACCCAAGAGATGCAGTTTTGCATGAATATGGGTTTTTCTTTTGGTCTCATACTTGATTTCGATAGTAAAACAAATGACCTAAATCTTAAAAAATACCACCAAAAATTACGTCAAAGACGGTCCAGCAGTTTAGGAAATCATCAGGACATACATACATAAGCTGATATTGTATAATCATAAACAGTTAGAACAGCTTCTCGGAAATTAAAAACGCAATAGTTTGTCAATGCGTGTTACTAAATAACCGATGGTCGTTCATTCTGAAACTGTTCGGAGAATGCATGTGAAATTGGCAATATAGATTATCTCCTTTTTTTCTGTGCAGAAATCAGTAGGGTGGTTCTTTCGGACTCGAACCGATTAAAAACCGGGTTCTACCAAGTGTGCCCAAGGAAGGAAAGCCCTGGTACCTCGACGGACCCCGGACCATCTGCGGCTTGTAGATGAACCCCTCGTGTGTCGAAACTCTTTAAAGAGCGCGCGCGATCCACAGCGCGTTGCGCCTCCCACCCGACATTGATTATCTCCTGGATTAGCAGCTATACGGAAACACACATATTAGCAGTTATGGACTTTATTACAAGGAGATATAATTTAAAGTCTTTCAAACAATAAATTGTTTTTTCCATAATTAAAGATAACCTTGACACTGACATTTATACCTATTAAAAAGAAATATACATTATAACATTCACGCTTTTTAAGACACTCTAAATTGAAACGTGTAAACAAGTCAAACCTTAGGGTCATCATCATCAACAGCCTTTAATAGTCCACTGCTGGACATAGGCCTCTCCTTAGAAAGGAGGTTTTGACCTACTATACCACGCTGGCCAGACGGGTTTTTATAAGGTTTGTGTCAAGTTTTCCTTCTTTTTGCAGTGCTGGTGTCCTGCGTTGTTTTGCGCCCTTAGTCGGCTCTTACGACACCCACGGGATGAATTGGGGTAGTGACATTCCGTAATCTTAACCGTCACTACACGGACTTAGGGTCATAATTCCATCAAAAACTGTCAAAATTTGTCTTTACGTATACTCTAAGAGATAATAAAAGACAATTCTTGTGAACCTCAAGAAACTAGACCACTTGTTGAGTAAGGCTACCCCACTATTAAAAATCATTTGATTTTTAACTGATCACAAGATATTAAAGTTTATTAATTACAAACTTAATAATATTATACTGGAATCCAGGCCACAATTCAAGTGTTGTTGAAATAACACTTCACTTCATCTTCGATTACATTACGCCTGAAATAATAAGCTTTGAATGTTTCAAATTCAAAACGAATTAAATTCTTTTGAAGATAGATGCATGTACGTAAAGAGCACCGAAACCCTGTATAAACAACAAAATCTGTACCAGCGCGATAAGAAATTACTGTAATAACATTTCGTACAGAATATGTATTTCTAATGAAATTTTTTCAGCTCCAAAAATGTAATCTTGTGGAATATAAGAGTTGGCAGAATTTTATTCACCACAAAATCTTAGACTTATAAAAGTATGACTTGATATAGTAAGTGGAAAATAATAACGAAATAACTATCTAAATATATACGAAATATCGTACAAAACTTGCCTTTCAAAAATTTGTCACAAACACAAGAAATTATGGCTCTTCAAACAACTCGAAAGCTTAACAAGCTCAAAGGTAATACCATGAATAAATTAAATAGTATATTAATTAATATCCGCCATCGTTCCACACGGCAACATTTTCATCCCCATCACTTGGATAATTGGCACTCCACCACTGTGCGCTTTTCAAGACACTTTTTGCCTCGTATTACCAATCCGGACCGGACCTTTAAACATTCAAGAAAAGAGCCTACTCCTTCCTCAAAGCTGTCAACGCGCTTGTGACTCCTGAGTTGAAAGCGTTAACAGGCGTTGTACCCGGCAAACAGTTGCCTCAAAAACACACAGTGGTGATGAGGGTCAGTTTCCCAAGTGATCGGAATAGTTGTTTTGCCGCGTGGAACGATGTTAGAAAGCGGCGACTGGTATAAGCCCGAATAGTTCTACTGAACATATCCCCCCACAATTCTTGATTTGATTCAAATCGAGTCGTCTTTTATTGAATGCGGTGTAGAGAGAGAAGCTGGTACCGGGGTGCCCCTGTCCTGAGTTGAGAATAGAATTAAATAAGCGGCCGAACATTCTTTAAGGTGCAGCGTCTCAGAGACAGTTAGAGGTAGTAAGTTTCATTGTTGATCTGTCTGTTTGTTTTGGTCTACACCGGAGATTCTCAAAATATTTTGTAAAGCACTTTGCTATATTTCTACCATGTTCTCAAAATTTAAAAATATGTGATAATAAGATCTAACCATGGAGATCTAATCACGATGGATGATTATGAAATTTGTAGCGTTTATAAACTGAATCATCCTAACTATTTTCATGTAATTATCAGTTTTAGAACTTTGCTAAAAGCAAATAAATTCTTATCAAAGAATCGTTACAACTGCAATAACTAAAGGTTCAAGTGTTGTTAACAAAACGCATTCCAACGTTTTCTAAACTTGCCATGCATAAAATACAAATTACATAAAAAACTATATCTTTACATCGAGATCAATGAATGAGCTCACTAGTCTATTTAGCAGTTAAAAACAAACATTACATTAATAATGTAGAGTGTACAGATTAGACAAAGTAATAAAGAAATGATTATTTTAAGTCAAATAATTTAAGATACTAATAACTTTTATTAAAATCGATTTGAGTAATCGTGAACATAATATAAAAAAGTAATTCAACTGATTTGACAGGGCATCAATTTAGTGACAGATCAAAAAAGTCATAAAATCATGATTTTGGAAGATATATATGTGAAGTTGTTTACAGCAATGGCAACTCATTCATGACAGCCAGCCGTCATTGTTATCGACTTCAGTACAGCTTATAGGCAAACTACAAACTGAAATAACTTTTGAACGCAAAGTTCCAAATATCTGGTAATTAAAATTGAAATTGTTGATGATATTACCAGCCAAATAAATGCAACAATAATCCCTACCATGAGATACGCAAGGCGGTACAAAAGTCCCATATATGCCTGTCCTTTGGAATGAACGTTTTCGAGACAGGAAAAAAAACAGTCTAAACAAAA